GCCCTAGCTGAAACCTGCGAAACTTCATCAATGGCCCCACAGACCTCCATTCTGCGGTTGACAACCTCCTCCGCGAGCTGACGAAGCGCAGGTCCTCCATACGGAGGTCGGAAAACTGCAAACCACCTTCAGCCAGCACTTGAGAGAGTATGAGGTGCGGGTGGCCCGGCGCAGCTTGAAATTGAGTTCTCAAGCTTCACAAGCTGGAATCAGAAGGATGGTGGCATAGAAGACGCATTGACAACGGCCCTAACAATCCTTAAAGCGTTTTCAGCAGCCTGCATTCTGTTGCGAGTTTTGCGAACGGAGCACTGGGTTGGAAGGTTGCTTTGTCGCAGTTTCGCCCTGAAAACGGACACGAACGCTCGCAGGAGACTCAGTCTCCATGCAGTTTTCTCGCGGCTTTCTTCTCGGCAGCGAGGTGGGCGCGTCAGGACCTGGAGCTCTTGAGGCAGCAGGCAGCTGTCAGAGCGGTTGGGTCTCGGCTGGAGCCTGCGGAGCCTGCGGAGCCTGCGCCCTGCAGGTGCAGCTCATGGAGCGACAGCGGAGGCAGCGGAACCTCGAAGTCGGCAAGCTGCGAAAGGTGCGTCAGGTGAGATCAGGAAGCTGCTCTTGTGCCACTCTGGTAGGCAATGAGGGAAGTTCGAAATGCTCTCTTCGTAGAAACTCCTGCTGCGGCACAGGCGCCCGTTCGAGTCTGGATCACGACGTATGAAGATGTAAGTATTGCGAGAGCAAGCAATGTGCCACTGCCATTGAATCTGAAAGTCATGCTCTGTGATCTGCCAAGCATGCCAAGAAGATGGGTCTTGCGGTGAAATGTAGTCAGGGCGGTTTGTATTTTGTAAAGCTGTTTGAAGGGCCACTTGGCTGCACAGCAGCTTCTGGACGAGGCGATTGCAGCTTATTGCAGCATCACAGCGCAACACAGCACAGTGGCATCATTGGTTCGCCCTCGTGGAGGTTCGAACAGAGCGTGAGCGCAGGCTCGCTGAAAAGCATTATTTGGAGGACGGGGTGGCATGGACGGCTCGATGCATCTGATCATAGGCTCGAGTGCAGGAAGACTGGCGATGTGTGCTGCTGGCAGGACCAGATCAAGAAATTGAAATCGGAGGTCGAGGAGCTCATTGCGATGAGAGGGTCAGACTATGACGGTCAGACTGGCAGAGTAGGTCCTTGCCACGACAGGGGTTAAGTGCCCACTGACTAGCTTTCCAACCACACCGACAATCCTTTGTCTTACGCTGACAAGGGTTTAGGGCGGCCACCATTTTGGCAAATGTTAACAATCAAGTCTCCAAAATGGTGATTCCCCCGCTTGTTTGGGGACAGGGGGCACACGCGGGAATCACCATGTTGCCATTTTCAGAGCCCAAATCCTCCAAAATGGTGAGTCCCCCGCGGGTGGTGGTGGAGAGAGGGGGGCACGAGCGGGAATCACCATGTTGCCATTTTCAGAGCCTAGATCCTCCAAAATGGTGCAAAATGGTGATTCCCGCGCGTCCCTCCCCCACCCTCTCCCCCAGGGCGAATCAAAAACATGCAGGATTTCGGCTAGTGAAAATGGCAAAATGGCAGCGCGCTTTTCCCCGGCCTCACATTGGGGGGAATCATCCCTTTGGTCTGAAAATGGCAAAAGTGTGATTCCCACGCGTCACCTGTCGACTCTCCCGCCTACGCGGGGGAATCACTATTTTGGAGGATTTCGGCTGTGAAAATGGCAAAAAGACCAGTTCAGAGGCATCGGCGCCGAAAGACCAGCTGATATGTGCTGCTGCTGCTGATGTGTCCTGCTGCTGCTGCTGCTGCTGCTGCGTTGTGCTGAGATTTTCATCCCTTATCGTGGTGAGGTTTTCATGCCTTGTCGTGGTGAGGTTTTCATGCGATGTCGTGGTAAAGTTTCCATGCGCTGTCGTGGTAAAGTTGTGTTTCTGTCGTGGGGCCAATATTTCTTGTTATGGTGTGGATTCTTTTTTGCTGTCGCGGTAAAAACGCGCTCTCCACTTGACTGGACAAGAAGCGGTTTATGCTCGATGAGGGCTGCCCAGACTTCTTCAGGAAAATCTCGAGTGCCTGGACAGCCTCGGGCAAACCCTCCTCCAGCCGCTTTGATTTGAAGTTAAAGTGCATGCTGGCCTGGACTGTTTCGAGAGGTTTGTAGGGCTGTTCCCCCAGAAGCCTTGCAGAAGCCTCCCCCCCCATGGTGTAAATGCGCCGCCGTAAGACATCTCGCTGGTGCAGCTGCCTTGTGCTGTATCTAATCGAGTTGCTCTGTTTTGGCACACGGCTGGTCGAGATTCCTCAAGGCAGTGGTGTCGCACTGTCGCCAAACTCCCTTGGCCCTGGTAGCATGGCTTCAGCTTCTGGCATTTGCTCCTCTGTTTTGAGATCTGATGTCTGCGTGAAGGCTTACAGTGTCCTGTCACCAGGAGCTGGAGGAGGGTCAAGCCGCTACTCCAGCCTTTGACCACGAAAAGGAAAAGCTGAAAGCTTCTGCTGGGCACTGATATGTGCCGACGTTCTCAAGTTGTCCATGTACTGAGGTCTACAGTAAGTTTCTTCGCAATCATCATGCCGCAAGTAGATACGCAGTGAGGGAAAGGCCCGAGAGCTGACAAGCTTCGTTTGGTTTCGGTTTCAAGCTCTGAAAGGCAGCGCAGTATTTCAACATAGATGCTTCATGTGCTAAAGGATTTGGATCATCCCAGCCCTCCGTGGTACAAGCAGGCCTGAGCAGAGGCAGACTCCTGCGGCAAAACAGGGTTAAAACACTGGGCCCGAGGATAGAACGCAATGTCAAGGGATGTCAAGTGTTTGCCTCTGCTCAGGTCAGGCAACTGAAGATGTCGATTGAGTCCAAAGACCGATATGCATGCTGGGCATTGATCCCAGACCTGCACACTTATGGTCTGTTGTTCTTCATTCTTCATCGGCATTTCACGAGTCATCGGCAGGTCTGCAATCGTGCGCATGAGCGCCAAGACGAGTCTGCTGAAGGCTCCGATGCTGGCGAGGCACTGACGGCTTTGCGGGCACAAGCGAGTTCATGGCAGCAACAGTACTCGCGATCTGGTCTTTGAGAACAATGCCAGGACTCCGACAAACATGACGAGTGTGTCATGATGCGCAGGCGGCCACCGGTTACTGTCCGTTTATATGGCTTTATGATAGTTATGTGCAACACCGTGCACCCTCTCGCAAGATGGAGCCGACACAGTGGAACATAGCGGAGCTAGTATCAGCGAGGGTGGCAAGACCACAACAATAGCTACAAGCAGCAACGATTGCGTGCGGCATGCGTGCACGCACGCATGTGTGTGTGTGTGTGTGTCTGTGCGTGCGTGCTCGCTTCGGGTCGGTTTTCACTTCAGGCGCCTAGTAGAGATGGAGGAGGAGATTCGCGAGCTGACTGGCGAAGGAGGCACACGCAGCCACACAGCATCGCACAGCTCACCGAAGACGAAGTGTCAGACCGCGCCTTTCTGTTCCGACTTCCCAGCTTGTCCGGCTTCAGGAGCTGCTGAGACTTCTGAGCCTGCTCAAGCCAGGGCCCAAAAACCGGCAGCTGACAGTGCTGACGTCGATTTCAAGTCCGTCACGCTGTGAACTGTAAACGTATACGATCGAACACGTGAAGGCCAGCCAGAGCCGGTCTGTTGCTGAGCGCTTTGATTGCCTGGCAGTAAAGTCTCGCGCAGAAATGTCGGATGCTCTGGAACAGAACTCTTGGATCTCAGGCCTTCTGCCAGATTGTCCCATGAACCTCCCAGCGTGACAGAGTCAACTTTGAGCCGCATCGCTTGGGGCAGACTCTTTGCTGAAAACGTTTCGACCCTGACTTCTTTCCACCAGGTCCAAGTTCCACTCTTCGATCTTCTCGGGATCGAATGTCCTTGAGCTGATTTTTCAGCATCATGCACAACACATCCGCACACATCATTAGAGCAGCGCGTTGTGCCAAAGCGGAAGTTCCTAAGGCCAACCCCATGGGCTCAGGCAGGCCTCTATCTAATGGATGCACGACGGCGTTTGCCAATGAGAGTCTGGCTCATGGGCAAGTGTCGGTAAGTGCAGGCGTCCACCGTGGCAGAGGCCATCCACTTGCAGCAGCCCCGAAGGCAGACTGAAAGGGTTTCTGACAGGCATCTGTGCAGTTCTCGGATTCCGTCTCGGCCGTCACCTCGTTGGAAGTCCCGGAGAACGTCCCAGAGGCTGTGAGACACATTGTTCATTAACTAGCCCAGCATAGTATGGACAGGTTGGCAACAGGTCCGTGCGCGACCGAATCCTAACCCCGTTCGTAGCGGCCAACGTGACAGCCTCCGAGGCAGAATCTTTTGTTGTGGCAATGGGCTGTCGGGACGATGCAAGTTTGCAGGATCGCAGAGCACTGCTGGCACCCGTCCTGTCAACAGTCGAGGAACTGCAGCTGTGCAGTAGGAAATCGACATCTGCCTTCAGTCTGCCTAGTCTTTTCCAGGAGTTTGAAGCACAGAGCTCCCGAGAGAGGCTTCGTTCAAGCCGAGACAGGACTGCACAACGGAATACCGAAGTTTGGCAACTCCCGGGGTCACACGCATTTCTTCACCAACATGCAGGATGCCTACACCTCATGTAAGCTCAGAGATGATTGAGGACTCGGCGCTTCTAGCTTCGTACTGCAATGCGTTGCCCATGGGCTGTTCATATCGATTCATCTTGCTGTGAGGAAGCTGAGACCTACGCAGCTTCTGGAAAAACAGTCCGAATCTTCCCTGCAGCCGACATGGAGGCACCTCAAACATTTTTGAGACTGCTTCCCGTGGTTGTAAGTTGCAAGTTTGTGGGCTGTGCCAGGCCATTCCAGCCTCCGGCAGAAGACGGCCCAGCCGGGAGAGACAAGCCACCCCTTTCGTCAAGGATTGGTGACACTGGGGTCTTGTATTGTTACTCATCGTCAGCACAAGCCCCCACGGCATCTTAGCCAGGCTGAGTGATTGCGTGTGCTCCAGCATACGCGTGAATAGTGCTTGAGCAGCTGAACTGAGCTTACACTTGCCGTTGTTTCCGAAGCGACAGCGACACCGCGCCCCCAGTCGCGTAGCTGAGTTTCCGTCCAGGCGTTCACCTGTCAAGCTTGTTGTTGTCTCGTTCCCTCATGGAGAGCATCGTCTGCTATTTGCAACTGCTCATTCACCCGTTCTCACCATAGAGTCATGCACGTTGTGAGGCTTGATGTGTGATAGTGTAGTTTGGTGTCAGGAGGAAGACATGCCTCCCAACGACACGCGGACCGTCCAGTTCAGTGGTGCGGTGAGCACCGAGGCCTTTCGTGCACGCTCCATGTACATCCTGCAGATCTTG